CTGCATGGCATGAGGCCCAAATGCAGCTCAGGAACACACACTGGTAGCTGAGTCCCTGTTCTCACAGGTCTGTATGGCTAATTGAGATGTATGGATGGATTTGTGGAGTCTGACCTCAGATGGGATAAATTCAATATCAGTTAGCTGGAACAACAGTTCCACATGCTGGTTCTGTCACCTGCTTTGTCCTCACCCTTCCCAGTGTGAGAACTTGCCTCTCTGGAAGGCTGTTCCCAAGCCTGTCACAAAGATGCCATCTCCTTGGCTTTTTGCTGTGGTTCACTCATTTGTGAAATGAGTGTAACAATTACTTACTTGACAAGGAAGTCAGAGGCATTCATGCATTCATGCCTCTAAAGCCTTTCAGGATCCTCACCAAAGAGCAATGTCAGGCATCATTATTCACACAAAATGTTGTGAGCCAGATATCTAATTCTAAAGGAATTTCATGCTTTGTCTTGCTGCAGTGGCAATGAGAGTGAAATTCACTTTCCAGACACATAATAATATGGAGGTTCTGAATTTGCCAAGCAATTTATCTATGGGCAAATAATAAGCTTCTCTTGATGGTCACCCATTTGTTGGAAGATACTGTCAGAGCGAGACTATATGTGGCAGATGAACAGCACAGGTAATATATTTACACTGATGAAGACATGATTAATTTGTATTTGTGTCTGGCATCTCCATTCAGCTCTTAAATGCTGTGGATTCTGTTACCAGCAGAGCCATTTCCTTATCAGAAATAATCAGTCATTCACTGCAGTCTGCTCCCACCCTTAGCGTTTATTTTATTCTTAATTACCACGCTGTCAGCTTCATCCCTGTAGGGTAAATTGCTTTGTCCGTCAATACACTTATAAAACACTGAAATATTAAACTCCTGATAAGCAAAGTCGTGCATGCAAGAAGAAGAAGAAGGCAAGGAGTAAAAGAGGGAAGGCAAGAGCCCAGAGCAGCAAGCTCTCCAGCCTTTCAGCCATCTCTGGGAGCTAATGTTCAGTGCTTGCCCCATAGGCAGTGAGGAGGAGGGCAGAAGAGCAAAATGAGGCACAGCAAAGACTTGTTCGGTTGATGTGAGATATTTGAGACCTGAGCCCAGGCCCACTGAATCAACTAAAAGGCTTCTCTGGAATCCCATAAGTTTTGATTAAGCTCTTGGTTTCCTAGAAAAGCAGCTTTTTATCAGCTCTTACAGCTGGTCTGATTCAGGAACAAGAAGGTCAAGTGACTTTCCAGAGATGACATGGTGATGGAGTGTCTCATTTCAGGTTAAACTTAAAACTATTCTCTTTGTCATATCTATCTACCTACCTATGCATTTATAAAACATCCATCATTGTGGTATTTCAAAATTTACACAGTCGCTTAAGCAGTCTGAAAAGCTACTCTCCACCACAGACTCATACTTGCTGACTGGAGAGGGAGCTATTCTTTTTCATTCCCCTCCTGTCTCCAAGGAACTGAAAGCAAAGCAAACTTTTTTTTTTGCCATTGCTATGGAGAAGAGAATTACACTATCCAGGTTGTTAACTAGTAGCTGTGCAAGACAAACAGTGACAATAAAGATATGTCTTATTTAAAAATAAATTGCTTTCTCAAATAGAAATGCTAAATAGTAGCAAAGAACCTCCCTCTTTTTGCTAGTAGATGGGACCTCTTGCATCTTATTTTCTATTTGCCCCTGGCTGAAGTCAGTAAAATAAAGGAACATGTTGTTTGTCTGGCCAAGTATGTTCTTTATTTGCAGCCACCTCAAATAACATTTTATATGTCTCCTACTCCTAGATGTTGTGTCTCAAACCTGTATTTTGAGACACAACATCCAAAGCTTTGACAAGAAAAAGATATCTTGTCTAGTCTCTGGCAATATCTAGCATTATAACCTGACATAACCTTGCAGATGCTTATTCTGTGGAAGCGCAATACATATCTCAAAAAACTTATTAGAAATCAGCATGCCAAAAGGTTAGGGAAAACAGATAATAACTAAAATACAGAAGATTACATGTGAAACTCAAATAGCTCAGTGCAGAACCAGCTTGAGAAGAAAATTGTATGGTGGAGGTGGAAATCAGGAGGAATTTTTCTTTTAAAATATGACAACCCACCTACAATCATTCACCACCTTATTATTAAAAAGATAATAGAGATAAAGCACAGAATACACGCTCTGTAGTCATTTGACTGCAGTCAGATCAAGAACCAAAAATAGATTACTGCCCTTTAGGTCTGTTGTATGTTTTAGTGAGCTACATGTTCTGAATGTGACTAAGTGGGTTGTCTTTTAATTAATTCCAACTTTTTCTGTATTTTTTCACATCTCTTCTGCTTGAATATCCTGACCTGGTCCTGGTTATACCTAAGGGATCTAATTTATGTAAACTACCCAATTATCCTTCAACTGCTGTCTATCCCATTTGCAACTTATAAATGAATATGAGTCCAGGGTGTGTAATTATATGAATAATCACAAAATGAAATTGAAGAAGACTCACAATATTTCTGTGATTATTATCATATCATAGAATCATATCCTAGAATGATTTGGGTTTGAAGGGACCTCAAAGACCACCTTGTTCCAACTCCCCTGCCATGGGCAGGGACACCTTTCACTAGACCAGCCTGCTCAGAGCCCCATCCAACCCAGCCTTGAACAATTCCAGGGATGGGGCATCCACAGCTCCTCTGGGCAACCTGCTCCAGTGCCTCATCATCCTCACAAGTTAACTTTGCTACAAGCAAAACCATACAAAACTAGAATATATCCTTTCTCTTCCTGCCTCAGTCATGCATTAATTTCAAAGGCACGCTTCATGGATTTAAGGGCACCAGTATCCTTTTCAAGCTTCTGCTTAGTAATGTTCATAAACAGAGTGCTTCAACAAGTGGGGCATCAACTATAGAGCTTTAGAGTGAAGTGAAAAGGCAGGTCTTATAATTGGAATGTCAGGATATTTATGCTGTTCGTGTCAGAAAAAGGCATACTGGAGAGCTAGGAAATTTGTGGATCAGCAAAGGCTTAAAACTTTAGATTGGGCTGTCTCAGGACATTTTTAGATGACCCAGTCATCATCACAGCTGATGTGAAACAAAACAAGCTCCTCATGTACATCCAGGAAAAGACATTATTCTGGTGACTCATGCTCCAGTGCTGCTAGACAGTCCTAATCCTCTCATATCCTCAACAAGCAGTACAAATAACACTTGGCTAATGAGTGTCTCAGAAGGCTGTGGCCAGGCTGTGGAACTGTGCAAGACAGACGTTGTCTTCTAAGGCTGAACCTGCGGTCTGTGGGTTGTACTCCATCTCTGACAGACAAGTAGTTTTACAGAACGACATTCAGATGCTGCAGCAAGTCATGTATCAGGTCATCTGTTTTTCCTCCCCATCCTCTTCTCATTTGAGGTACAGGGGTTGATAATCAGCTCTGAAACCCTCCAGAATGTGCATCATTAATTATGGTAATTCTGGCACTAAGAAAAATGTCCTGGTTAGTTCTTGGTTTCAAAAACATCCTTTGATGAGAAGTTCCACAGCTGACCTGTTGGTTCTATGAATTACTTCCTTTAAGTGATCTTGAGGCTCCCACTTTTTGATTTTATTGAAAGTTCCATTTTTTCCAACCTTTTCTTTCTATAGCAATAATTATCCCATTACCCTTTTCTTTTCTTTTTGACCTCTTCCTCACCTCCTTATAAGGACTTTAATAATGTCCATATAAACAGTTCAGATTGCTTATTTTCAGGCTATTGACTATCTGGGAAATGTTGACCTCTTCTCAGAGATTACCACCTTTCTTTGTCTTTAAGATTTACTGGAAAATGCTTAGTTTGCACTATTTCTCATGTGTCATTAATGCCACATCTGTCTAAAGAGTCCCCTGTTGTACTGGCCTTCTAGGATGGAGAAACTGTATCAGTGAGCAAGAGAAGAGCTACAGGTGCTGTCAACCTGGTCTTCCATAAGGCCTTTCAACATTCTTACCTTTAAAGTTGTGGATTTGATGGATGGACTGCAAGGTGGATAAGGAATTGGCAGGAGGGCCATGCCCAAAGAGTTACAGTCCATGGATTAATGTCCAAGAGGACACCAGTAACAAGTGGTGTCCCTCAAGGATCCATTCTGGCACTAGTACTCCTAAAAAGCTTCATCTCTGAGGTAGACAGTGGGATTGATTGAACTCTGAGGAAGTCTGCAGATGACACCAAGTTGAGTGGTGCAGTTGTATGCTAGAGGGAAGAGATATCATCCAGAGAGATCTTGATAGGGCTGCACAAACCACCAACACTGCAGATGGGTAGCTAGAAAGAGATGGCACAGATGGGATGCTGAACATTGCATGGATTGTTTTGGTGACCTTCAGTCATGGGATTAGTGACAGGATGGTTGCATCTTCTGATGGCTAAAAGCCACCATGGTTGGTGGCTTCCCAAAACAGTTTTAGGTTGTCAAAAATTATGTGTCAAAATCCATGAAACTGTGGAAATTCACAAAAACTTGTCCAAATATATGATGGAAAGACAGGGTGTAGTAAAAAAAAAAAAAAAAGAGGAATACATGCCAGGCTAAATGGAACTTTTTTCATGAGGATATCCAAGCACTGAGGAGAGCTGCATCCTATTTCTCAGAGATACCACACTGGAGCTGGGTACACCTGGCCATGGATCTCCTTCAACTGAGCTTTGTGATGAGGCAGCAGTTACAGGCAGAAAATTATTATTCTGGCAGCAACAGATAGCACTGTTTGCATTTACAAAGAATGTCCTGATTCTTACCCTTAACTTGTCTGTTGTAGTTTTATTTTTTTTCTAAGTGTTGTGTATTTCATAAATACATATATTAATGGATATGCTTGTGACTCATATATATAAACATTCAATGCTACACCACACTATATAGATGAATGATTGGAAGATATGACACCAAACATAGCATTTATGTGTTCTGCTGCTTGTTTTCCTGTTCACAGAGGTTTATTTATTTTCTCTCTCTCTCTCAAGTTCAAAGTGTGCTGTTCGACTGGCCTAGAAGAGAAGAGACATGTCACTGAATGTGTGCTTTGTTCAGCTTTGTGAGTATCTGATTTCTCTCTGCCACAATTCGTGTTAGCTAAACCAAAAAAACACCTATTGTACCTTGACAGTGGGACCATCTGGAGTTCATTCTTGTAATTGTTTTCAAACACAGTCAGTCCTCCTCTGGCAAATATGCATTTTAAAGCATCACAGGGCACATTTATCAGTTTATTGGGAAACAAATGTTTAGTTTCGTATAATTCTGAAAAAGATATTCTCAACATCGTAACTAATAATTAACTAATAATCCTGATATAGAGAAAGTGGGAATGTGTGTGTGTGTGTTTATAGGATGGATATGTAATCCCATAGTGGCCCACCTGAAAGCTCAAAATTGGAGATGACAGTCAGGGACAATTGATTTTCCCCTCTAGTCGCTTGGAGAATGTCTTTTTCATTGAAACTCTTTTGTCAATTCTTTGCAGGAATTGCATCTGGGAAATTAAAGACATTCAAACTTGAAAGGAATTGCAGTGCAAATGCATTAGCATCAAGACTTATTTGCATCTAGATACATATTCTGATTGCATCTTTTATAGGTGAGTAGAGAACACAGTGTTTGTGGGCTTTATGGGGATGCACCATGAGCTGATATTTCCCAGGCAGAATGTGGAAATTGATGTACCTAGTATAATCATATGTTTTTCTGTCTGACACTCAAGAAATGTAGGCTTGCTGGGTCTGATTTCCAAAAGTAACCAAGCAACTTAGAAGTCCATGATCAAAAGAGCATTAAAAAACAGACTTGCAAAGGAACTGAAACAGCTAGGGAGGTTTTCAAAGCCTGAAGACAAGTTTAGGATCCCAGGTTACTACTGCTTTTCAATACCTTGCCCAATTGTCCTTTTAGCTGATCTGCAGTAGATGACTATCTGGATATTTAGATGCTTGGATATCTTTGAAAATCTGTCCCTACATGCAGAAAACATCTTCAAGACTTCAGCACACTGGAATGATAAAATATTTATTTTCTCCCTAGGAGCTTTGATAATTACCTGTCCTCTGTCATTCTTATTTACTAGTTAATGAGGCAGTGCTCCTAGGAACTGAAGAGGCAGCATTCATTTTTCTTAGTGTTAGACATTTCCACTGTATGTTTCATCAGCACAGTTATTCCCTATCCTAATGAAAAGTACCAGCACATGATTTATTTGACCTGTGTTAGACAGCTACATAAATATGAGGTGAATCATGCTCACAGATGCTTCTTTCTCTCCAGTTCTCTATCAACAAAATCAGGAGAAGCAGCTAAGGTGTATATGTCTAGATTAAAGATACAGCATCAGGAGAAATACAATCAGCAGATCCTGGGAAATTACTGTTATTATTTCCAACTACTTGGCAATAGAACACTGAATCCTGTTCAAGAGGGATGGGGAGATGGGGAGATGAGAAGAATCCAGAAGGGTGCTACCAAAATGTTGAGTGGTCAAGGTCCTAAAGTGGACAAACTCCAAGGAGATACTGTGGAGATGACCATATTTAGAGGAGAAGATTAAGAAAAGATACCATGACACCTGACAACTACTCAAAATGCAGTTGTAAAGATGGCAGAACAAATCTCATCTGCCTAGTGGCTGATGAGGTAAGAGGGAACAACAGAAACAAACTGAAGTGGGGAAGGCTCAGACTGGATTTCAGCAAAACAGTTCTCAGCAGAAGGATTGTTTAGCAGAGGAACAAGGTGTCCAGAGGTGTGAAACACTTCTTCATTTTGGGAGGTGCTCAGGACTCAGTTAGATAGAGCCCTGGCTGATCTGGCCTGGTGACAAGTTAGTCCCACGTTGGTGGAGGGTTGACTCAGAGACCTCCCGGTCGTGTCACCAACATGTCTTTAGCTGAAAAAATCCCACCCTTTTTAAGTCTGAGAAACTGAATTCTGAAAACTGAACTGAAGTCTGAATTTGGTGGTGTTTGCAATTTTTCTGAAATGCTTACACTACCCATCTCTGGGTCTTTTCTCATTCTTGATGAGCACACATGATCATTTGCATTTTCAAATCCCCTGGCACCCAGGGGAATATTCTTCTTTCAACTTACTGATGATGTAAGACTGATGTGAAGAAATTAAACAGACATCCAAAAATTGAAATTCGGGATTTTTTCTCACAATAACCAGAAATTCAGGGGTGGTTCTTACTGTAGGGACACTTTGACCCATCTCCACCACAACTTTACAATCCTGACTGGCATTTTTGTTTAATTTTTTTTATTCTAGTATGCAGAGGCAGCATAATTCATTAGGAACCCTTTTTTGGTCAGCTGGAACTGCCCTATGGAAACTTGTTAAAATATAAAACTATTTTCCTTTATTTCTTAATTGTGGGTTTGTTTTCTTTAACAAAAAAGTAGTGAGAAGTAGTTCTTATTTATTCACTCACTTGTGTTGTAGATCTCTAGGGATTTTGCCATCTGTCCCCAGGCTTACAGAAATAGGTGTGCATCATCTTGGGCTGAGAGTGATAAGCAATGTATAGGAGAAAGCTTAAAAACTCATTTACAAGGTAATGGAAATTTCTCCGCTTCCTGAAATATAATAACTAAATATTTTAATCTTGTTACTATTGACTTGGTAATGAATAACCTGCACCCTTCTTGTTATGTATAACCTGTTCCATTTTAGTTATGTATTAGTGTTTTCTTAAAACCCCCCTGTGTTATACACATGCATGCACACATAAAAGCCTACTACAAAAATTTATGTGGAGATTGCCACTAGTCAAAATGCATTACAGCTACCACCAGAGAATTGTGAAAACCAGATCCCTTTTTCCACTGATCAAGATTCAGAAGTAAAATGTCTTCAAACACTGGGAATATATTTGCAAGGATTGTAGGCTTTGTTACAGATGCTTAGATAAATATAAAACTCTGAAACCTTTCACTTGGCTATTATGACCAGTTATGCAAAGTCTGACTTCTTCTAAGTCAGTAATTGAAATGAGGTATGTGTAGAAGCTGGGTAGAAATGTCACACTGAAAAGAAGATGAACATCTAAAATGGAAGCTTCCTCAGATGCTAAATATTTCATTTCTACTCATGAGGATAGCTTTAGTGTACATCATTTAAAATTATTCTTTCTCCGAGGTCATGGTAATTTTGGAAGCGCAGGAGCTCAGATTTCTGCTCATGTCTTTATGAAAGAGAGAAATCAAGCCCAAACAAGCCAAAATAAGCCCAAACAAGCCAAAACAGCAAAGGCAGGGTCGAGAACAGAGTGTGGTGAAATCACACTAGAAGGGAAAGACTAAGCACAAATGTTTACACCTCTCTTTCCTGTTTCTTCTACTCCTTGGCTCTATTTTCCACAATTTTACTAATTCACTCAGGCTAAACAAATAGGATGCTCAGAAAGTGACTCACTGTGACTCTCTAGGGTCTATAGCCCCACTCGAGTGAATGCAACTTTGTGCAGCAGCCTGGCAGGCACACGTTGAAGAAGAAGGCAAGCAGCCTTCCCCTCCACAACTCCCACTGGGCCCCATGACCTTACTTGGGCCATGCTTTGGGAAATATGAGCGGATACCAATGGGTCTGTGTACTTTGTGGACATGTGAAAGGCTCCAATGTCTCATTGAGCAGTAAAAAATAAGGACCTTTGAACACAGGCCACAAACCACCACAGAATATTATAGCCTGAGAGATGAATTCATAAGGCAAATATCTTGAGACTACAACTACAAGCAGAAACAGAAACAAGTTTCCAAAAGGCCATTTGCAGCATGTTTCTACTAAAATAAGGAGAATGGAATTATCTTTCTAATGCTGCCATTCTGTCCCTCTGGTGAAAAGATGTACTGAATCTCAGGTCAATTAATTTGTGATCCAACATCCTCGTCTACTTTAGCTTTGTATGGGCTGAATTGTGACCAGCAGAGGCACAGTTTTGGAGCACCACACTCACAAGGAAAAGTGCTGTTTTCCATGCTCAAGAGGTCAATGTCAGTTTATGTAGGAAACCAGAACCACACAACTTTAGGGCTGGAAATTTTTTTATGTTTGCTTTGCTGTTGTATTGTGACAGCACAGCACCATGAACGGAGACGGAGATTCAAAATATGTCTGGGGAAATGCCTTCTAGGAGCCAGGACTCACAATCTGGTAAATGGGTAAATATCCAGGTGTATGTGGCACAATAAAATACTGAATGTAGGTTTTAGCTGTGGCACCTAAAGTAGTCTTGCTTATCAGGAGCAAACTGCTGGAGAAAACTGTCCCTGATGGGACCATAGGTCTGTTCTCTGGAGAAAAAGCTACAGTCCCCAGTCCTCAGCATGGTGCTGCAGAGCCAGTGTGAGTGACTCACTCTCACCATGCAGCTGGGAAGGAAGGCAGGCATAAATCCTGGCTCCACTGAATTCTCTGGCAGGCTGAAGGGCGGGATTTATGATTGACCCGGGTATATCCAGAATGCACACCATCTAATTTCCAAACACTTGTGATTTACAAAGGCGAATCTCAGCTCTGCTATAAACAGAAACAGGACACAGAGGTAAAATAGAAATCAGAGAAGTTGTGTTCAACTGCACCAGTTCTGAATTTTGCTTTTGGATTTTCCTAGTTCCAAAAACATATTGACTACAGAGTTTGTGCATTTCAACTTTAATTAGGTAGATACTAATATATAGCATGAACTAATCAATTAAACAATTATAACTTTACTTCTGTGAAACACAGTATGTGTGTATGTGAGAGAGTATATGAGCATGTGCCTCAACCAGGTAGATACTGATACTATGGCCTGGCAGCTGTAAAAATCAATTTGTATGCAATGATCATGTTATATCTTCTAATTTCATGAAAACTCTGGGACTGTGGATTCATATTGATTTATTCATGCCATTTTAAGCTTCATTCTTAGGAATTGATTTCAGCAGTCATTTAGAAATGTATATCAGTGAAACTGAGTAAAAGCTATACAAGCAGATCTTCAACACAGATTAGCCCTAATTCTTCTCATTGATTAAGTATGACAGATATGCAGTTCTACTGTTTGTCATCATGCAAGGGAGAAAGGTATGAGGGCTTTTATGAATTACAACAAATTAGAAAATACCATAAATTATTGGTCTACTGGATGATTATTGCATTAAGTTTTGCACAGAATCAAATGACATTTTGGAAAGCTTCATTTAGTATAACTAAATGATAGAAGTGTTACAGTTGAAAAATGCATACTGCAGCATGCTGTGGTACATATGGTCAGCACAAAGACCAGCCATGAGCAAATCTTCCCTGTATCAAGGATGCTTCCTGAATCTGTACTCTGTTGTTTATGTGGGACACTAAAAATTAAGAAATAGCAGGCATTCAGAATGAACAAGAAGAGGAACTTGAGATAATGTGAGCAATACCCCTTTTGATAAAAAGTACTGCAACACAGTGGCACTGCTTGCCCAAGTTCATCAGGATGATCCCTCTGAATTTCCAAAGGGATTTAGAATTCAGTGTTAGAATCTGAAGCCCAATGATTGCAGCTCTGATCTAAAACAAAAATTGAGAGGTTAAGTTTTTTTTAATGCTTATAAGGAGATCAAAGGGTCTCCCTAGCAGATGCTAGTGAGTTTCTTAAAAGGAGGTGCTTTTCGGATGTTTCAAACTACACTAGACAAAAGTAAACAATACTGATTTAAGTCTCTAGGACAATATGAACATCTAGGGAGAGCCTAAATGTATTTCTTTATGTAAAATAACAACAACAACAACAAAACCCAAACAACATTAAATCCCCTGTGGGGATGCAGGAATCATTAAGTGATATTCAGTGTGTCATGAAGGAGACCAGACTAGAAAATCATGATGGCTTCACCAGACCTTATTAGTCTCAAGGTCTATGAGAAGCTCGTGGCTAAGAAGCAGGTAAAGATACACAGATGGCTGCAAGTGAAACTTTGTCTCTGACCTTCAGCTCTGTGTGAGCCATGCATCAGTGTTATGGCAAAATTCATCATAGTACAAGACTAAAAGATTTGTGTGGTACAAGATTAAACCAGTAGAAAAGCCATAAATTGCCTCCCTCTAGAACAGAAACTGCTTGTTTTGGGGGGTTTTTGTTTATTTGTTTTTTTGTGCCAGGTCTGTTAGTAAATATATTGCAGCAGATGGAAGAACTATTCCCTTCTTTCTTAGTCCCTGTTTCATTACTGGGAGCACTGGAGTCCAATACCATCTGCCCAGAGGCAGCAGTTCACTCAGCTCCTGAGTGAAATGTCACCTCACATCAGCTCACATATCAACTTCAGCTGAAAGAAAACTCCCTCTCTGATAAGATGCTCCTACATTCCTCCAAGTGTTCATGTTTTATCTTTTCTGAGAAAGTTATTAGTGGTGCAAAAAGCACTGCATTCAAAAGAGT